ACTCAGTAACTAACGAAATTAATTATCGACTGCAATAATTATAATTAGATATATTAACAAAAAGTTTTAAAATGCAACATATCAAGTAACTTGATTAAATTTATCCAAAATACAACTTTTTTATATTTGCTAAAGTTTTTTCAAATAGGGAGATTAGTTGGCAAAACAAGTTAGTTGATAGAGTAAACTTATCTTTTGAGCCTGTCATCAAAAACTGCCGGATATTACGTGAAACCTTCCTAATTGACAATTTCATCTTTCACTGTAGTATTGTAAGGACTCACGTTTGCGCTAAGATGATGTTAGTATTTATGTATTTTTGAGACAAAAATGTAACTTTTGGAACATCATTTCTTTTTTTTACTTGTTGAATAAAATAGTCGGTTGTATGTATAAAAATTATTGCAAAGATTCCAGTCACATTGGATTTACTTTCTCCAGCCAGTTCTTTTTTTGATAGTCGTCGTTTTCCAGGATCTACATAGTGTTTATTGAAAAAAAGCTTTTGACAAAATTTTCACAGAGCTTAGTTACAATTTCCGCCAATATGTGAGAAAATTGTTTTGGCTTAAGCTTAGAGGCTTAAGCTTAGAAGTCAAAACAACTTCAACTACTTTAAAATTCGTTTTTAAACTGTCTAGAAGAAAAAGGAAATCATTAGAAAAATCATCTTAAAAACGATAATAATATTTCATACAGAAATGGAAAAGGTATTCATAGAAGGAAAAAAATGAATTAGGCGTAAGGAAGGAAACCTCAGCTGGTCCTAACATTAAAAACTAAGTTAAAAAAGGGGTTTAATTAAAGTTAGAGTTGGTTAAAGTTAGACGCTGTTAGTCCTATGCTGTTAAAAAGAAAATATTTTATATTTGATTGGCTCCCTAAGCAATCAAAAAAAAAAAAAAAAATTTTTTATCAATTTTAGTGTGTCATTACCAAATAGAACTATTTGATATTTGATATGATTTCCAGGAAAATCATGAATATTTATAAAAAGTATATCTTAAAATCTTGTGGTACACTTAAGGTTACTCAAAATTAAGGAGTTGTGGCATCAATTACAATAAAAAGTTCAACAATTTAAAAAATTTTTACAAATGCACTATGTAAAACGAATGTAAAAAGACCACAATGACAAACTTTATTTAACGACATAGATATATCTAGAGCAATAGTGGCTCAAATTGCTCCAAAATAATGCAATTAATGCTTTAGCACCGAACCGGGCAATTCACCTGATGTAAACGCCATCAAAGCTGTTAGGTAAAATTATATCAAGAAGGTTCTAAACAGAATTCCCTTTATTGTTCATTTTTTTCGACTTTTTTAACCAAATATAAAATATTCTTAAAGTTTAGCACAACCGATATTGAGTTTATAAAATATTTTACAAAAAAAAAATTAATTAGTCATATTTCAATTCTTTTCAGTTTAAAATAACGCGGACCTTAGCGAGACATCATTATTTAAAATTTCCTTTTTTTAGATATGGATTCCCCTTAAAGTTCATTGCTAAAATAAACATCTCTGTAATAAATTATGTTTGTCATTTCTTTATAGAAAAATAAGTTAAACGTTTTTTATTATTCTTAAATCAAAAAAAAAAATATTTGCTTTGCGTTCATCTGACATTTTTTAAAAATCTTTTCATCTCTCTTAACGCCGACTTATTTGTTATCTTTTTTGCAACTTTAGCCTTTTTATAAATTTTTTTATAATGCTTTACTTTGTTAAAATTTGAACGCCACTTTTTTAAAAAAGTGCAACGTAAAGTCAGATAATGTTGCAATTTGATACTCTACATCAGACATATTTTCAAATCACTGTATAAAAAACATTATAATTCATGAAAAATTGAAAAAATCAAGAGAAATCGCGTTGATTATTAAAGTGAACTTCATTACGCAACTTGCGTTACTTATGGTAAAAAATCATCAAAAACTAAACAAAGGTTATATATAAAATATTTATAAACAAAAACTCCTGCAAGCAAAAAAAGATAAAAAGACTACAAAAATCTATCAGAAAAAATCCGGAAACTATAACAAAATAAGCTATTATTTAGAGTTATTAACCGGAACGTTTTGAAAAATTCCTTAAAAAAAATTCTTTCTAAAGAAAATTGTTAACGATAAATTGGTAATTTTTTTTCGTACCGAAATAAATAAAACATTTAAAAATGCCGACATTCATTTCGCAACTACTCATCCCGAAATATAGCATTTCGTTGAATTTCAAAATTAGGCTTTTTTTGTTACAAACGAAATTAACGTAGAATTTGCGAAATAAGCGTTTTTAACAAATAACAAATAATTACAAACATTATGTACCAAAATGTTTGTAATTATTTGTTATTTTTAGAATAAAAAAATTTAAACATTATAAAAATTCACTTTTCATGTCGAAATGAATTCTTTTCGCAACAGTAACTTGTGGAACAGTCACTTTCGTAAAAAAACTTATGAAACACGATGCATTTAATTATGGTTTATGAACAAAAAGTATTTAATTAACTATGTAACTAGATCCTATTTATTTATTGATATTCATGTGTCAAATGCGTAGACAATTTCTTATATATAACGATTTTCATAACATTTACTTCTAAAATGTCATTAAACGAACAATAATTAAATATATATTAAATAACATGAATAACACCAAAAAAAATTTAAAGCAACTCATATTTATAGGATCGTGAAGATGCTCCAATAATTAAAAATAAATTTGCAATCTGTTAACGTCGCAAATAAAATATCCTGAAAAAAATAGTAAATAGAAAATAAAATAGTCAATAGTTAAACTTGGCATTTAAAATCTGTCCATAAAATATTAAGTCGTATCAAAAAAATATATTTGCTTTGCGTTCATCTGGCATTTTTAAAAAATCTTTTCATCTCTCTTAACACCGATTTATTTGTTATCTTTTTTGCAACTTTAGCCTATTTATAAATTTTTTTATAATGCTTTACTTTGTTAAAATTTGAACGCCACTTAATAAAAGTGTAACGTAAAGTCAGATAATGTTGATATATATATATATGATAAATTTTGATATATATATCTGTCCATAAAATATTATGTTTTAAAGATTTGTAATTTCTGATGCAGGGGCATATCTAGGAATAAAATAAGAGGTGCGAATTCTCAAAAAAAAATTTACTCAAAACCTAAAATCACCCTTATGAAATGTGTCAAACACCCAACTAATCAACTTTTTTCTATAAAAAATCGACTTTAACTTAAAAATTGCTTTTTTTGAGTGGAAGGTAGGGAGAGGGGTATAGCACCCCCAGGGCATATCGGGACATTTTTAATTATTGTGCTTTATTATTGTAAAAAAATTAATTTTAGAAGTACAGAAACGCATTAAAAGTACCAAAATGTATCAGTAATTTGAGAAAAACAAAATTTGCGTATTTTCTTAGGCAATACAAAGATAAAAGATTCATCTTGACAGTATTTTTTATCCTCTTTTAGAATCTGGTTTTAAAAAAATATCTAAAGATGAATTTTATGAATAGTTTTAATTTCATTAAAATTACTTTTCTGGGGCATATCGGGACAACAAGTTATTTGTATAATTGACTATATTACAACCATTTTGTTTCCAGTTTTATGACTTTATTTTTGATCTAAAATATTATTTTCTTTATTTAGAAAAGCAATATTAGTAATAAATACAAATGAATTGTTATTTTTATAACTTAACTTTGATTATTAATAATGTTCAATGTAAACAACTATGCATAGTTGTCTACATTACCATATAAGGTAAGAAATTATATTAAAAAAAATCAATCATCCAATGGGATGAAATGCAGTTTTAGCTGTGAATAAAAAAGAACTTAGAATTCGAAAAGCTGATGATACATATCAAGTTATGATACATATTGCAAATAAGCTGATAAGCCAGCTGATAAGCAAATAAGCCAGCTCATCAAATATGATATCAAACAGTTTCAGTATATTTTTTGTGTAACTTATGTAATTCATGATATTTTTTGTTAATTTTAGATTTAGTAATTGTTACCAATTTAATATTATATATTAGTTTTGCCCTACTTAAATTTTGAATTTGTATGGGTGTATGGGTGTATAATTTGAATTGACATGTTAAGATTTTAATGTCTGAACAAGTTTAAATAATAAAATGCCTTCATTTTTTATTACTTTTAAAGCTTTACAACCCTAGTAGAAAACAATATTGGCGCAATATTGGGGCGATATTGTTTACAGTATTGGCGCAATATTGTAAACTATATCGGGCCAATGTTGCAGTGTGAACATTTTGCCAATATTGGCCAATATTGGCGCTACAATATTGCGCCAATATTATAAAGTCAATATTGGGCAATATTGGCAATACAATATTGCCCCAATACCGTAAAGTCAATATTGGCCAATATTGGCAAAATGTTCACACTGCAACATTGGCCCGATATAGTTTATGATATTGCGCCAATATTTAAAATAATATCGCGCCAATAATGGAGATATTATACTGGCCAATATTGGCCTAATATAGATTACAATATTATCCTGATATATATAATATATATAACTAAATTAAGGCAATATATTGAGTATTTTCGATTAAATTTTTATTATTAAAAAATAATAAAAAATATTGCCTTCTACAAATTTGTAATAATTAAAATTACTAACAGTTTTCTAGTTTAAGTGATACTATAGTACTAGGCTGCATTATTCTTTTGAGTTAAACAGGTTATAGTCTAGGAGATGACAATAATCATAGAACACGCTTTAAGAAAAAAAAATTCGAAATCATTAAATTTATTTAAAGTTATATGAAACAGATACAAATGAAAAAAAGAGGTATAGAGTTTTCCAAAACCAAAATATAACAAAATAAAATCAATGTTATTTAAAGTCACGTACAAAAAAAAAAAAAAAAAAAAAAAAAATATATATATATATATATATATATATATATATATATATATATATATATATATATATATATATATAAAGTACTGTATTATACTCTCACTATAAGATAGTGGGCATCGACTTTCATAATATTGGCGATACTTATTTCATTGCTCAATATTGGGCGTTGCTCAGTTACGGTTCTATTTTTCTTCCGTAATCTTTATTAATGGCCGTCGCTAGAAAGCTGCCAATTTTTTCTTTAATACTTTTGTCAGTAACGAATTCGAAATGAACGAATACAACGATAAGCGACTAAACGCAACTCTACAAAATGTTTTTTAAATATCATCACAATATAATTTTGAAATATATTACTTTTCACGTATAAATATTGTAAAGTAATTAGCTTTTGTTAAAATATTTATTTATCAAAAGGAAATGGGATGTAGAATACAAACAATGTGATTTACCTATAACGACCTTGCAGGTCGTTTTTGTTTTATTCCATACACTGAGTATGAAAAACATATTTCTTTGGCCATTAGCTGTATTAAGATTGCCGCTGTAAGTTGTTTCTCATCTCCTCCAACCGAAAGTTCATCTAAAATAAGAAAACAAATGTAATATAATTGGTTGTACTAAAAGTATAATGGTTCCTCATGTGTATGTATTAGACGGTTTTCCATAATGTGATTCTTATTAAAATATGACATTATGGAAGAGTAAAAGCAATTGGTTATAAATAGATTATGACATCTGTAGCGGTGAATACACCCTACAGATGTCATAGATATCTGAGATTAGTAGTCATTGCTATACAAAATACAACGCTAACTGGGCATAAAAGATAAAAATCACAATAAAATGTAATAAGCATTTATATAAAACATTCTGATATACAACATAATTATAGTCAATCATATATCATATTGTATCATTTGATTGTATGTTTCATATAAATGTATCATATATTTTAAAAATTTGAAATTTTTATAGTTCATGGTACTGTTTCCAAAAACTATTAACTAATATCAATTCACTGATATATACTATTGATTCATAAGGTATCTTTGTTCCATAATTTTTCTTATAGGTTTAGAAGATCTTTTTTTATCTATAATCGGCAAAAAAATTAAATAAATCGAAAGAGATAGTCAAGCAAAGCTCTGGTGGAATCACTTAACCCTAAAACACTAAAGATTTCTTCAATCTTTGAGAAACTGAGAGGCAATCTCATTAGTGTAACTTTTTTTGTAACCTGCATCCTTTTAAGCTGGAGGCACAGAAAATTCCGTTCTAAAGCATTCTCATAACTGTCAAAAAAAAGTATAAAGAAGAGATGAAACCATAATAAACAATCAATATTTACTATATTTGAGTCAAACATAGCTGTTTAGATAAAAAAACAAAGACAATACTGTAAATAAAACAAAAACAATATTGTAAATAAGACAATTACCAAAAAATTCTTATTTTCAGCTGCTTTCAGTTACTTTTAAAAACGTGACTTTACGTATGGCAGTTTAATAGCAAGATGCTTGCAAGTGATTTGGCCAACACACCAATCTTTTATTGATACCCCATGAAAAACAGATTACATTTATGGCACACATATTGTTTTTTAATTAAAAAATTCAGCCAGTGCAAATTTTGTAAACTGTATTACCACCTTCAGTTTAACGGTACATCAGCTAAAAAATAATCACAAATAAATTTATGATATAAAAAAACTTCAGATTAACTTTCTTTTTTGAGATTTTTTTTGTTTGTTTAACTAAAAATATTAGTCTAAAAATTATTGAGATTCATTTCTTAATGTTTAATGTAATCACTTTTTATTGCAAGTAGAGTTTAATTATTGGTTAGTAAAAAAAAGTGAATTTTAAAGTAGGGCAGTTTGGAAAGGTTTCTATGATAGTACTTTCTTATTTAAATATGACATTAAGGAAGGAAGCTCTAAGTAAATATTTACCATTTTGCAATTGTATATTTAATGAACACAAGATGCATCTAGATGTTTTTTTAATGTCGTGACAGATGTTGAACACTATTTCAGATGGTAGACTATTCTACAAATTTGTGAATTCCATATTTGAAAAGTTTTTTCAGGACATCTGTCTTACAAAACATTTTTTTCAATTTATAAGCATGATCGCATGTTGTTAAGTTGGAGTTGAATAAATACTAACTAAATATATAATCATATATTAATATTAAGAAGTGGTCATATTAACACACATGCTATTACAACTCAGGTTAACTACTTAATGATCTGTAATTACAATAATAAATATAATGGCTGTGCAGATGACATCATTCTGACACAGGTGTTGATAGATAAAATACTGAATGGTATTTTATGAGGAAACAAAAGGGTTGCAACTACAATTATAAAGATTGTGAATGCATTTGTAAGTTTCTGCCATGTCATTACATAAGAAATGATAGCTCATGCTAGTTAAATTTAGTCTCAGTAGTCTTTGGTTGTAAGTAAGTCCAGTCTGTCCAAAAACAAGTTTCCTAGACTAGGATAGAACATTTTAAATTAATTGTTGATCTTTTTAAAGTCTAGGATAGTAGACAGAGCTGCAAGAATCAAGGTGAGGACGAACAAGGAAAATAAACAAAGTACGAAATGTCAAGATATTGAGATTGACAAATGATCTTTTGATCATTCCTACAACTTTATTGGTGGTGTTATTCTTAGTACTTACAAAATAAAAGTCAAATTACTGTCAATGAAGATCCCTTTATTTTTTTTTAGAGTTTTTAATATTTTCTTTAGAGTTTTTAATATTAATTGAAGTATTGAGATTTTTATCAACAAGTATATAAATGAATGTTGATTTTGTTGGTCCTAAGGACATTGTTTGTCCTAAAGGAAAATTTTGTATTTGTTGATCCTAAGGGTATAACTTTACATTTTTTTACATTAAAACTTAGTTTTCATAGTTTTGCCCAGTTTGCTATAATGTCCATACTTTATTGCAGGATATTGAATGGTGAGCTATCAAAAAGCAAGCGGTATAACTTAGTATCATCTGTAAATACAGATACATCTAAAACCAAATCAGAAAAATCTTTATTATATATCATAAAAGTCAGGCTTGGTCGGGAAGCGGGAGCGATCGCTCTCGATTGCTGACCACGTAAATAATATTTAGTTACGAAAAGCTGGCCAGATTTTTTAGTCGTTTTGAAAACATTTTAAAAAGCAAAAAAAAAAAAAGCGCAAAAGATTAATTAGATCGATGAGAAACAATTACAAAAAAAAAAAAAAAATTAGGCAAATTAAATATCTTTAGACGCGAAAAAACTTAAAGCTAAATAAATTACGTTTAGAACAAATATTTTAGAAACATCGCTCTTTTGTAATTTTTTTTATAAAATTAAGCGATGTTTTTTATATAAAGTATCAACCTGCGATTGTTTAAAAAAGAAAAAAATGCTCTTTATTTAGCAAAGTTCGCAAGTTTTAGTTTTATTTAAGCTAAATTATTTTATAAATAAAAAAGTTAATTTTTTCAATACCTATTTTATGTTTCGCGTAGTTTGAAAAGTTTAACATATTTGAAGCAATTCTTCTTAGTAAGATAAATAAATGAAATAATTAAATCATTGAATTACTATAGAAATTAAATTAACAAGATAGAAATCAACTAAATAGGTTAAAAATATTTTATGACGAGGAAGCGAAACTGCTTCACAATATCGCTGATGATGTTTAGTGAGTGGGCTTTTTAATTTTAATTAGTATTTAAAGCAGAAAAAAGTATAACGAGTTTCTAGGATGGTAACTTAAGCGAAAATAATTAGGGTTGGTAAACCAATATATAGAAACTTTTCTTTATATCTAATTATTTGCTATATATATATTTGTGTTCTGTCGTGACCTCAGGCGCGGTGCTTGTTCATCCGCGAGTTACTTTGAATGCGTTGTTTGTGTTTAGTAACCAGAAACTTCTTATAAGTTTGTTACATTATTAGTTTTATTAAGTATAACAATTACAACTTCATTGAAAACGCAATTATTTTTGTATGTCTTTGTTTAAATCATAAAAATTGCTTTAAAAGATACATTACGATAAAAAACAGATACACAAAATTACATTTACATAAAGAATACATACTTTTTAAATAAAAAAATAAGAATATACTAATAAAATCTATAATTTATAATAAACTTTTGAAATTTTGACAATTTAATATATATTTAAAATATTTATTTTTGTAAACAAATAATATAAATTTTTAAAACTAGCAAACTAGAAATCTCAAAACGTAACAAATCGTGAATATGACAATTTCTAAAACATTTTAACAGGATACTCTAAAACTTTATTTTGCTAAGTCAGCGTATTTTGTGAACTAATAGAATTAGTTTCTTCGTTAATTTAGTGGGTTTTTAGTGTTCGCGAATATTTTTTTTATTCTTTCGCACAAAGATGTTTTGGAACATTCAAGTTTATTATGTTTCCATGTATGTCCGTAAAACAAAAATTTTTTGTTTCGTAAATAAACTTAAATGTTCTCAAAACGACTAAAAAACCTGGCCAGTTTTTCGCAACTAAATATGATTTCCGTGGTCAGTATTCGAGAGCGATCGCTTCCGCTTCCCGACCAAGCCTGAAAAGTAAATAATGAGGGACCTCACTATTTACTATTATCCATTCTGAGTATGTACCACTTACAATGATACTCTAATGCCGATCTCTTAGGTAACATTTAAATCCAATTGTAGAGTTAGTCATTTATTCTATAAGCTTTTAATTTTAGAAGTAGGAGTTGTGAAATGTGTTGAAAGATTTCAATATATCTGATATAAATTTTCTATATCAGTTTTATTCTCCAAGGCTAATGTCCAACATCAATCCTCACTAAAGTTTATTGCATTTTCAAAGTCGCATTTATATAATTTTTACTATTTTCAGTATTACTTATTGTGTGAATTTTACTTTAATCTTGTTTAACTACTCTTAACATAACGTGATGTAGCAGATCTAGTTTAACTTATTGATTAGTTTATTACCTATAGCATTGCATTAAACTATTGCATAAAATAAAATGCTATATAAAATAAAAAACATTATAAAAAAAACTTTTTTATTGCAAAATTATTATCTTGTAATAAATTTATGTGCGTGTGTGTGTGTGTGTGTGCATATGAGTGTGTGAAGGTCAATAATATATATATATATATATATATATATATATATATATATATATATATATATATATATATATATATATATATATATATATATATATATATATATATATATATATATATATATATATATATATATATATATATATATATATATATATATATATATATATATATATATATTATTGATGTTATTATTCAAGCAGGGGTACCTTTTTCGTAAATTAAAATCTTATAACAGTTATAAACAATAATAATGACATATTTATTTCTTAAACGAATATTTTTAATAAAATAAATAGACTATAAAACTTATATTTTATAGATGAAATTTTCTCAAAGTATTTTCATTTAAGAGTAAACTTACTATTTCAATCTTGATACTTGAGTATAGCAATATTTTTCCTATTCTTCTCGTGATGCAATATGTTTTAAATTAATTACAACCATTTCTTCACGTAATTCAATTCCCAATGTTGAATAAAAGAATTTTATTACTCTCATTACTTCTTTTCGTGATACAATCTGTTTCAAAATAAATTACCAACACTTCTTCTCCTGATTCACTCTGTAAATGTTGAATTAAAAATACTTTTCCTACTTCTTCTATTTTCATAAATTAAAACTTTTATTTTGAACTCTTATTTGTTTTTGTTAAAAAATTAATAACATAAGAATGCCTGTTTATGTAAAAAGATGCTATTATTTACATTTAAACACATTTAACAAAACTAAAGGACATAATGAATATTCCTTAATGTTACGCATGCGTACCATATGTAAAATTTAATATAAAGCCCATATTGGCAAACAATATTTCGCCAATATTGGCATAACAATATCAGTAAAACGATAATGGATAATATTGGCGCAATATTGTTTGCCAATATTGGTAAGACAATATTGGCGTAATATTGCTTGACAATATTGGCACAATATCGGATATCTTGGCCAAGATTAGCCAATATCGGATATCTTGGTCAAGATACCCAATACCGTGCCAATATTACGCCAATATTGTTTGCTACTAGGGAATTAACGAATAAGTGCTGCTTTTTCACTGTCCCGCTTTGCCCCACCCATTTGCAAAATATAGAAGTTTTGTTAGACTAGAGTTTCGTTACTTTGGTTGTCATAGCCTATTATTAGAAATTTTTTTTTGTTTTTGTTTTTTTATATCAATGATTTTTAGGAAAGATAAAAAATAGTGTTAACTATGATTAGTTTATCTGCAACAGGTAATTGTTTCTTAAGTGTCCCTATATTAGTCCCAATTTATTTCATTAGGTATTACTTTAAATAAAAAAGCTCCTTTAATTCCTAAAAGAGCTTTTAAATTTGTAAATGGGCTTCCTAAATTTGCTGGACCTCCTAATTGGGGGTGGGAGGTAGCCTAACCAGGGCACTGTATGTACAGTCTTGCATGGTAGTAGAAAAGTTTCTCCCATAAACTTTACCTTTAAGGAGAACGCTAATAAACCAGACAGTAAAAGTTTAAAAGGTTAAACAAAGTTTTTCTTTTTTAAATAATAGATTGCTTGCCCTACCCAAACCTTCAGTCGGTGTAGCGGCAGTTCCTTATTGCAGCAAACTATAAGATAGTCAATGTAGCAACGCTCCACCAATGTTTTACAATAAAAAAAAAAAAATGTTATTGTAAAACATTGTAATTTTTTGTTTGTAATTTTTTTTCATAAAAATTTAACGCCGAGAAAAAAGGGCATTGACAAATATAGCTATAAAAAAAATCTGACTGATATAAAAAAATTTAATTTCGATTTTCTTAAAAATAAGGTCAACACCTACTTTTCGAACCAATTTTGTTTTGGCCTTATATTTACTTGAGGAATTATTGATGTTTGATATAGACACAAAATTTTGTAATATTTTTTAAATTAGACACTTAATATAACCCCACCTTTTACCAATCAATGAAATTAAAAACTACAAATTTAGTGACTTTATTATCTTTTGCATTTTCATATGATATTTACAACAAAATTTAAACGTATATAAATTTTTTTTTTTAAATACTAAACTTTAGTGATTTTATATATGCTTTACATTCACATTATTTACAAGTTGGTTCACACAACATAATATTTAAAAAAAGAATGGATAAGACATAATAAACTCATAAATATAAAAATCTCTACTTCCTTGGGAAAATAATTTTTTAAAGTCCTCTTTGGCTAAATAGTAGCAAAGTCCTGTTTTTGTTATCGGTACCTCAACTTTGCAAATAATGTGGACATCAGGAATCCAACATTGGCTTTTTCTTGGTGGCCATTTAAACGACCGTGCAGGACCATTAGGACACATAAATTTTAAAAGCACATCTTTTTCTTCTAAATTAATATTTTCAATGACTCCTATCCACCACTTTTGCTCAAAGGAAACACAAGCATAATCACCTGGAACTAGGTTTACAGTTGTTATCTGGATATTTCCAAAGTCATGAATTAAAGCAAATTCTTCATCAACACTGATTAGCTTAGTGCCTACCTAAACAAAATAGTAACATATGCAATTATACCGTTTTACTTATCAAACATGTTTTATTAAACGCATAGATAGCAAATGCAGTGGAAATAAAATAAAATACAAATATTTTTGATAATGATTCTGCAAAAATCTAATATCTATTTGAGTTTATCAATAAAAGTTATGCGTGTATTTTAAAATATGTTAAAAGGTATAATTAAAAAATAATAATAATTTATCTTTTGATGGCGAAGTGGTACAAACTGATGGTAACTACGTGTTCCAGGTATTGTATTAGCAGTATCCAATCGTTCTTTAAGAGCGGTTCTCACCAAAGTTAAATCTTCTGATGAAATATATATATGAAATTAATACCTTCAATGTTTTCATTGCAATATTTATACATTGTTTGTGGAGATAAAATATGATTATCCATATCTCTTTGCAAACTTGCTAGTGTTGTTAGACGTTTGACTGTACCACCTATCCCATCACAAGGTTGCTTACCGTGACTAGTTGCAAAAAAGTTCCGTTTAGCAGTAAAACCAAAATCTTCACAATGGAAAACTAAGATTTAATATATTTTTGCAATTCTTATATTGACCTGCACACCCATCTGAAAAGTATTCAATATTTTTTATTTGAGGCAAATTTGTTTTTATATCATTGCAAACAACCTCAATAATTTTATAAACCATGTTCACATCATGGATCATATCATCCGAAATAATACAACAGGATTTGTGCTTGAGAATGCCTTCTTTTTTGAAAAAAATAATCACTGGATGAAGTGTACATTGTAAATTTGTCCAATGAAAGCTTTGCACTTCATCCTGAACTACAAATTTATAGTTTTTTGAAAAATCACCCAGAAATAATGCTGTTACCTCATTTATATCTTCTTTTCTTGATCTCAGGTATAATGCTTGACTCTTTGCTAAATACGAATGTGGTGCAAGTTTTTCCAGTTTTCTACGTACTAGTTTAATGTATTCAAACACTGGCTCTTTATTATGTGTTAAGTTTGACCTATCTGTTGTTGTCCATTGATCAAATTCAATCTCATCATCATCTTCAAATTCTCCAAGTATGTCATAAAGTTTTTCAACCAATGCATTCATAGTTGCTGGGCATTTTTCACATTTCCTCATTATACAGTCTTTATTAGTTACATCACAGACAATATAAGGTAACAATTCTTTGTATGTCACACCAAGAGGATGTAAAAGCAGTTTCAAATTCTGATGAATAGCACAGACGCATACAGAATGTGTTCCTGAGGCACCAACAGTAATACACCATTTAGGTCGCAAGGTACAAAACCTTGAAAATCCTATTTTTATTTCTGAGTTCTTGGTTTTAAAGGCAACAAACAATTCCTTTAAATTACATAAGAGCAAACGTTTTTGCATGTGGACATTTTTATTTAAGTTTAAATAGTCCTTTTTACCAGGCATTCTACGGCTATGTTCATCGTCTTCGTAAAAGGTCTTGACTAATTTAGGATTAGGCATGGTTAAAATACCTTTTTTTAATGTTAACTTACGTGCAGTTCGAGCTACATAGTTTGTTTCATTTGTTTCCAGGTCAGGTCAGGATAGTCAAGATCAATCTTGCTACTGGTATCACGTAACCCAGTACCACCTGCCACAAGCCCTGCTGCCTTGCAGAGTGTGCTCTTCTTAGGCAAAGGCTAGGAGAAATAAACTCCGACTAAAAATTCCCCTGCCTTGGGACTCTTGGTTAAGTAAAGGCTAGAGATGGTGTCTCGATAAAAATACTCATCTTGGGCAGATGTTAACTGCATCCTGCTACTGTCTTGTAAAAGGCCTCCTAGGCAAAGACTTTAGGGGTAAGCAGAAAAATTCTGCTAACCAGCCTCGAACCCCTTCTTCATCTATTAGGCTGGCGTAGATGAAACCTGTGTTACATTGTTTCCTGCCTAGGATGATGAATGCTGGATCTCCTTGACTCTACTCATAGAATTTTGCTTATGCCTCCTTGATAATGGCTATGCAACTCTTCCTGTTATCTCCATATGAAGGTACTGCTCTAAAACTCAGTTTAATGGTTCTGAGGCCGGCTGGTAGTAAGGTTTCCCGAACTCTGTGGTAGTTCTCAGAGAGGCTGATTCCATCAGCAGCTGTAAAATATCAGAGTATTAACAGTGCCATGTTGCGCATGGATGGTGTCCCTGTTAATGCATTTGGTGTGCATTGTCAAGGCCACATAAGGAGCCCTATGTCACGGCTTAGGGTTAATTAACAGGACTGAGACAACTGCATAGCTCATTGATTAGGAGGCTGTGCTCTATCTATGAATGAGTCAAGTTCTCATTAAACTCAAATCATGACCAAAGTAACCAAAAATTTAAATCCTGAAAAAACCATCCCAACCACCTAAATATTTTAATAAATCTTTTACAAATATTCGCAGTCTACGAAGCAACTTTCCATCAGTTGAGTCTTACCTCCTGCAAAATTCACCAGACTTGCTTGCACTCAGTAAAACAAATTTAAGTTCTGCAATTCCTTCTTCAGATGTCAGTGTTGATGGGTACTATCCTTTCATTCGTAAAGACTTAAATAGTCACATGCTAGGTTTAGGGGTATACATACGCATTAATTCCCCTATTTGTCGTGAAATCAGGTTCGAATCCTTTGACCATTCTTTTATGTGCTTTCGCCTAGCAGCTCTTCACTCTATCACCTTTTTCTTTGTTCTTTATTGTTCTCCTTCTTCCCATGATTGCACTCTCTTAGATGTTATCTCTGATCAAATTGACCATGCCCTTTCTCTTTTACCCCTCTGCCAATATTGTTGTTGTTGGTGATTTTAATGCCCATCACACTGAATGGCTTGGCTCTAATATCACTGGTCCTGCTGGCACTAAAGCCTTTAACTTCTGCGTTTCTCAATCTCTTACTCAGATAGTTAACTTTGTGACTCGTTTTCCTGACAACCCTAATCATTTACCTTTATTCCTTGACTTATGTCTTGTCTCTGACTTGTCTGCAAAGAACTTTTCTTCTAATTCCACTCTTGAATCTTATGGACATTCTCTTCCTTCCATTCCAGTCAAACGTGTTGACCCATTGTTAGACATTCAAATCACTCCGGCTTCTGTTGCTAAAGTGATATCTCAATTAAACTCG